CGCTGGACATCCGCCCACCAAAGGAGGAACTGGCATTGCGCGAGAAGCAAAGCACGTCCTTTGACCGGAGCAGATCACAACTTGAACCTCCACCTTTGGTGCAGCCGTCACTCAGCACGGGTTCAACTCCAAGCACATTATCCTTTGTTGAAGACCGTGATACCAAGCTTATCCGGGTGCCCAAGCATGAAGTTACGGATGCTATGTCAACGCTCAAGCACGGAAAATTCAAATGGCCAGGTTCTCGGGTGAGAGACCAGTCTCTCACTCCGATCGATTACAAAGGCAAAGGTCATCCCGAACATAACTTCCAGCCAGCAAGTGTCCTGCGGTTCACGCGCTGTGATCACTGTGGAGATAAGTTGTGGGGTGGATCACAGTACCGTTGCACGAGTGAGTTACCTCTCGTGAAGCTTTTGCGACTTCGCTCATTTGTGATCCAGCCTGTCATGTCAATGTTCATTCCCGATGTGTGAACCAAGTAAGCCTACCATGTTCACAGCACCCGTCACGTCCACGTGAGGATGCGAATGGGGCCATCGTGCAAGCGCGTACGTCTGGTACATCTGCCGGTGGTGATCCATCACTAATGTTGGAGTAGCTCCCTCGATGTTTGGCCGGGACCTTGTTGAGCAGGTCAAATCTGACTTGCGGTGGGGCGAACGCAAAGTTCCAGTCATCGTAGAAAAATGTATAGAGGCAGTCGAGACTCTGGGTCAGTCTCTTCCTTGATTGTGTGGTCACTTTCTGACGTTATTACAGCACTCGACTATGAGGGCATCTACCGCAAGACGGGGGGCTCGGGTCAAACCAAAACCATTACCCAACTTTTTGAGCGAGGAGACTATGCAGCTTTCGACCTCCGGGATATTGACAGGTTTAACGATATCTGTTCTGTTACGTCGGTGCTGAAGACGTACTTCCGTTCACTCCCGGTGCCCCTATTGACATACGACCTTCATGAAGAGTTCATAACCGCAGCTGGGCTGAAAGATCCTGCCCTCAAGACGATGCACCTTCAGGAGCTTGTTGACCGCCTCCCAAGCGAACACTATCACACATTGGGGCTCCTCATGCTTCATCTTCACCGGTAGGCACTATTTTGACCTTCCAGTTTCCTCATCTAATCCCACCACATGCAGGGTTCGAGAACACAGCGATAACAATCTGATGAACGCACGAAACCTTGGCGTGGTCTTCGGACGTAAGTCGAATGAAAGATACATAACACTCATAGCTAATCGTCTAATTTCAGCGACACTCATGTGGTCAAAAGACCCAGGGTCAGAGTTCAGCGATATGGCTGGCAAAGCCCTGATGGTCGAATGGCTTGTGGAAAACGCCATCTTGATCTTCCAGACACAACGACCGTCATCCCGTTGACGTCCTTTCCTTTAGTCTTGATTGTTTTTATCCTATTGTACCCTCCATATTCATTCGCCTCCAACCCTTCTGCTGTCGATCGTATATCACTTTTATTAAATTATAACCTCACCCTTTTCATTTATACAGTTTTGGGTCGGCGAGACGCATGATGGTTGGCATGTCTCCGCTTTGTTGTTGGCCTCGCTTGTAGTCCATTCTTATATCCTTGGGGTTCTTTCGCGCATTGGCGTCCCTCCAAGTCAATTCGCCCTCCTTGTTGTCATCACATACGGAGACTTGACCCTATCCTGTCCTCAACGACTGCATTTTCCTCTTCGCATTACACATTTTCATTTTATTGTTTGCTAGCATTCATTTTCATTTTCCATGGATACCATTGATACCAGGTGGGCGGCATGTAGAAGTACATAAACTGGAGATATATACTACCCGTCAGAATGGAACAAGTGAGCTACCAATGGATATCAAGCGCTACAAGGATGCAGGTAAGTTACAGGGTGAGTGCTAAGTATGCAGAGATTCGAAAAGGAGATATAGCTAAGATAGATGTAACGTGGTGAGAAGGGAAAGCTGAAAATCAGAGGAGCTCGCGAGAACGGCGGGCACGTGGAGCGGCTTTGTCTGGCTTGAGCGTGCAATAGAGAAAATGCCGGCGTGGACCGGACGCTGCTGCTGCTACTGCAGCCACCCGAGCCCCGAGCGGCGGTACGGCTGCATCGCTACGGATACCGAGAGAGAACATCCGGTCAAACACTGTTCGAAACGAGTTAGGGATAGAAAAGTGGATAGAGAGGAGTGGCCAGCTTACGTGTCGCGGTGAATGCCCTTGCGGTTGTTTGACAAGCGAGGTGGGTGAGGGAGAGCGGGGGACTGACTCCTTCGAGATTTCGAAGATAGCGGTAGACCATCGAGGGTTGGCATGGTCCTGAAGAGCGCTTGTGAGTGGTCTTCCGGCAATGTCAGTGGACGCGCTCACCAAACCGGAAGACGGCGTTGTAAGCCTGTCTCCATTTCTCTTCCAGAAGACGAGCGCAGTTCGCTGAGTCAGGGCAAGTCGGGCACTGTCGATGAGAAAGACGATGAGAAGGGTGGAGGTCCATGGTAAGTAAACGTACGCATTGGTACTCCTTAGCCACGGGTGTCAGACCAAGTTTGAGTACGCGTTCGAGGAACCAGTTGCGACTAGTGAATCGCTCGGTCAGACAGGTAATAGGTGATCGCAGGATAATTACCGTTTTTCGAGCTTCAGGAGAGTTTCCTGGCTCAGCGTACTCAGCTCTTCCTCGGACCATCCGCCAGGATTATCAAGCACGAAACGACTTGACTCACGATAGAGCTCTTCTTCCTCGAAGAGCTCCGCAATGCGCATGGCCTTGATCGGCTTGCCAGCCGCATGGGTAAGGAGGAAGGTAAGACATTCCTGTTGCAGTGCCAGTGCACAAAGCTTGTGAGAGATGTTCATAAGACCTTCCACGTTGTTCCAGGAGATGTTGCATTGGAGGCTGGGTGCATTTAGTTAGTAAGCATGTATTCTGCATCATAGGCACGCACTGAGGGTACACGAATTTGAGGAAATCGTGGAAGATACTAGCTTTCTCCTCTTTCAAGACAATAACAGCGTCTTGATCGTGTGTCCTGCGGTGCCTCTTCACGGTGGCATGCGTGTTGTGAGAGCCTCGCCTGGAGGGCCGATGACTATTTGTCATCTTGTCTTTAGACTCTTGCTTGGGGCCTCCTTGAGAGCCCTGGAGCTTAGCCAGACTTGTTCCCCGAGCGCGGGCTTCACGCTCGTTCCGCATGTTCTCAGATTCTGGTATGTCAGGTTCGCTATCACTCGCCTCGCTCTCGCTCTTGGGTGGGTTCTCGATTTCAACGGGCGATGAGGAGTCGGACGCAGTGTCGCTAGCGGTGTCATGGGTGTCATCTTCAGAGGTAAAAGACATGGCAATAGGTGTATCCATTCTGGATTTATCACCTGGGATGGTGGGTGGTTGCGAAATTGTGATCACGGAAGACATTGACGGTGGACGGCCTGTCTCCAGCCAATTACCACTCAAGGCAGCCTCGAAGAACGGGGAGGCGAAGAACAAGACTTCCTTGTGAGCCCTATTGCGGAGGTGAGACAAGTTGGGGAACAGAGCAGGGTCATAGTGACCACCCACCAAAAAGTGGTGCTCTCGACGACGATTTTGACTGTACCAGGGAATCTCCCAGTACGAGTAAAGGTCCCATCTATCTCAATAGCCTGATCGGTGTCGTAGATGTTCAGTTCTGTGACGAGATCATCGGCTTCGCATTCTTCGAGAAGCCACGGGGGAGAACCGGAAGAGCGGAATATGCCTGCTGCAGCTGCATGGGTTTCGGTTGGCGAACTGAGGGAAGCTGAAGGGTTGTTGGGCCATCGTGAATTGCGCGCGATGAGGATATGTGATGGGTTGGTGCTCATAGTAGATATCATGGATGTTGTGAAGAGCAGAGTCCAGATACGACAAACCAAGTATTTGAGGGCAGGAAGAACGAAGGACAGCTCAACGTTTGATCACCACTGACTCGTAGCTCTTTCATTTTAATGAATAACTATACAATGAGAATTACACATTAATTTTGTGGATTGAAAGAGTCCCATCCCGATTGCTGAAGCGCCCAAGTATCTCAACGGTAGGTCGCTGCCATGTCACTCTCACTGTCGTAACCACAATCCTGCCGGTAGTAGAACGTCTTTTTCTTTTTTCAATGTAGGCACTAGGCATTGTATCAAGAATGATATAGATACAGGCTGGAGTACTGCGTATGACGACGCCCACCAGCGCTGTGGACCAGACATGAATTCGAGCCCGCTGTATCCCTCTCTCTGCTGCATACGCTTCTTCTTCTTACATGTCTAGTAGCGTGCCACGTTTGGCGGCAAACCTGGTGTAGCAGCCTGTAACGAAGCCTAGTTTGGGCGTCGTTCGTTGATTACCCTGCAGAGCTGTGTCATCTTCAGATGATGAACATGACAGCAGGTGCTTACACCCGCACGGTGAGCGCGCCATGGCCGGTTCCTAGGTCAGCTTCCTTAAATTATGGAGATTCTACGATCGGTTTGAGAATTCGTTTTACTCGGGTTTGCAGGTTCAACAAAGTGGCTTTGCGAATCAGCATCAACTGGGTGTGGACTCAAAGGCAAACCGCAGTTATATCTGAGATCTATTGTTCCTCGAGTCGCTGCAGTATAAGGGCAACGAATGATTGAATACGAAGAGCAAAAATGTGATGAGAGTGGGATTCGAACCCACGCCCTTTCGGACCAGATACCTTGGTCATCTGATGACCTAGTCCTTAGTCTGGCGCCTTAGACCGCTCGGCCATCTCACCATGTGGGAATGATGCTGTATGAATATTGTGGCTCCGTCCTTGAGTACGAGTATAGAATTCTCGAATATTTCTGGTATGAGGTGATGTATAGCCCCGGTGATTTTTTCTAACCTATCATCATACAGTGACATTCGGCAATACGATGATTCACAAATACTATTGGCTTTGTAGTGTAATGGTTACCACTGGGGTTCCCTCGCTTCCACTTACACGACTTGCAGTCAGAGTCCATGCACGCGACGATTTACAGAGTTATCGGCTTTGTAGTGTAGCGGTTATCACTTGAGATTCTGATCAAGTCGGTTGTATGACCGTCATGTTCTCAAAACCCAGGTTCGAGTCCTGGCAAGGCCTTACTTTTTGGTATTCGCCCAAACGGCCAAGCGATCACGTGTACTAATCCAATCCTTAAAACGCGTGCGGCATGCCACCAAGTACTGCAAGGTCATGACATGGAAAGAAAGCTTTGAGAAGGGGGTTACCTACTTCAAGCATGGTCACCTGGTGGAAGCACTCGCTCATATGAACCAGGTACAGATCATCTTCTCATGACACACCCCCACAGACACTCATCAACCACCAGGCTGCTGAACTACGAAATGATAATTTCACCATCTACGACTCGCGTGCAGCAGTGCACGAGAAGCTTGGCAATCTCAAAGCTGCTCTGCTAGACTCCAAGAAAGTTATTGAACTTGCACCCGACCGATGGCAGGGATATATCCGTTCGGCGCGTCTTTTCAGTGCGCTCAGGAAATATAGCTCTGCCATCAAGATGGTCGACCACGCATTGAGTCGCCTGCGATCAGATGACGCGCAGCGGCGCACTCAGTTGGTCGAGCTTCGCGAACAAGCCATCACAGCTCAAGAAGCTGCCGAAAAACAACGACTATTGCACATTTCCAAGACGTCGTACCTCCTGGGCAAGCTGCCCGTGGAGATCCTCGTAGAAATATTCGATATTCTGGTCAGCGATGACAACACTTGGGTCATCAGGCTGTCCCACGCTTGTGGACACTGGCGACGTATCGTGCTTACCAGTCCTTCTCTCTGGCGTACTCTCGCCTTGTCCAATAAGCACCCCTTGCGGAAAGCAAAGGCGTGGAAACAGCGTGCCAAAAACCGCATTGCTAGCCTCTCTCTCTCCGTGCCGTCACTAGATACACCCTTGGTTCTTGCTGAACTGAAGGACTTATCATGGGGACATCTCTCGACTCTACGCACGTCTGGAAAAGCCTTCATCGACCTCCACCAGATGCTCTCCGACATTTCGATGCCGCATATCTTATCGAACCTTCATGAGCTGTCATTATACGACTGCCTTTCCCCAGACCAGCTACAATGTTGCTTATCTGGTCCTGATTGGAAGCTCAGGTCTCTGCGCTTAGAAGGGGAAATCCACATGTTGGACGAGTGGTGGCAGCGTATTCAACAGCTCACGGAGTTACATGTCTACTCCTCCCTCGACCATTTCTCTATGCGTGCGCTCGAAGCGAATCCATTACTCGAGAAACTTGTGTTGGACCTCACGCACCTCACTCACATCGTCAGAACCGACGCGGATATCACCCCCACTTCCATGAACAAGCTCAAAAGCATCGAACTCCGCAACGTCGCCAATCCCCTTGCCCTGTTGCGGGCTATCACTGCTCCATCGATATCGAGCTTTCATATCTTCAACGCTAGCTCTAGGGCAGACGAGACTCTCCTCCATGTAATAGGTCCTTCTCTAGTCGAGCTTCACATCGGGAACTGCAGTCTAGATAAAAACACTCTGCTTGCAGTCCTGTCTAGCGCTCCTAGCCTGGAGAACCTGCAAATCAATTCTGTCCACGGAGTCGCAAACGAGATCCTCCGGTTTCTTTCTCAAAAGAATCCGCCACCAGCCCAGTCGCTTGGACCACCGCCAGGGCTGCCGTGTCCCGCGTTGAAGCACATCGATGTCTCTCGTTGTTCCGACCTTTCGACGTCGAGTACATGGGCTTTCATCAAGAGCCGCCTTCAAGGTGGATCTGAGGCAATTGACTCGGCGGACAAGTGTTCCATCATTGAATCTCTCAGGGTAGATGGGTGTCCGAACATGGACCCGGAGATGCTGCCATGGTTCAGGTCAAAAATCGCGTATTTTAGTTGTGTGTACATGACGAAGAAGGACTTGAAACAGAGGCGGTAGATTGTGTAGTAGGTTAACCCACCGAGTCGTTACACCCTTCGTCAATTGTCACGAATCCCCCTTGTAATTTCAGATTCCTTCACCTGCGGTATTACAGGAGGCGGAATTTACGCAGTCATCAGCTCTGTCTCTATCGTGAGGTGCGTTCATTCAAAGCCACTGCTCGGAAGACCATGCGTGTGCTGGGAAGAGGGACAAAATGAATGGGAAAGCAACGGGGTAATCTTGTAGCCGTGCAGTTTGCTACCAAGGATGTACCGAGGAAGTGGTTTGTTTGCACATTAGCCGACTTTTTGAGGAAGAACCTCGATAAGATTGGGATTTGTGATTTTCATGTCGGCAGGAAGGTGGAGCACTGAAAGACGGTACAACAGTGCTATAGAGACGTATCCATCGCCATATCTATGGCGTACCC